ACGGGGGCGTTACGCACGGGGGAAGGGTGATCAAAAAAATTCTAACTTTGCTAATGCGCTCATTGTGATTTTTGAGACATTTTCTATGAGTAACAACTCTTATTTTTGCACTAGCAAAAGTTTGCAACAGGCCCATTGTGGAGTGCGGAGTGTATTTCAGATTTGCTCGATTCGCTTATCGTGATTTTTGAGACATTTTCGAAGAGTATTAACTCCCGTTTTTGCTCTATATGAAGTTTACAGCAGGCCCCTGGCACGGTTGTCTTCAGTTCGCCTTCAATTGGGTCTGCAGCAATTGTCGTTCTGAATATGTTGTGCGTGCTAAATTCAGTTCATTACATACTTGACTCTTTGAAGACGTTTCATGTGCGCTGATTTGTTTGCTCTCCAACAGAGTGCGCTACTTGGCCACGTAAAACGCCTTCAAAGAGTCAAGTATGTAAAGAGCTGAAATCAGCACGCACAACATATTCGGAACAACAATTGCTGAAGACGCAATTGAAGGCAAATTGAAAATAACTGAATAATTCACGGTTTTGAATTTTAATGTTTGATTTCACGTGTGCCGTAGTACTTCCTCAATGTGCTCATCGTGATTTTTGAGCCATTTTATCATGAGCAACGTAACTCTTTCTTTCTGCTCTATCGGAAGTTTGGAACAGGCCCATCGTTCTTTAAGTTGCACCTTGTCTAGTGGTACATAATTGTAGCTCGTCACCTTTCTTCCGAAGTATCACAGGCACCATGAACGTTTCAAAATTTCTGCCGCCATTCTATTATTCTACAGGGAAATTGTTTAACGAAGCTGTCCGAAAATGTTTCTGAATTTTGTTTGTGCTGCCGATAAAAGTGAAATTCTCAAACAGATTCGATCAACAATGTCTCTGTAAAAAAATAAAATGGATACCTTGAAACGTCACGTAAGTCGTGTTTTGTTTGAAACAACAATATGTTCCCATTTTTTTCTTGTTTGGTTCATGCGATTCTGAACAACCAATAAAATAGCAACTTCCAATTTTTTGGGTAGAAAATAGCGTTGATTTCTTTTTTGAACAACATAAAAGCGACTTGTTTTGAGCATGTTGCAGTTGTTGCACAACAATGTTGCTGTAGGGGTTTCCAAATTTTTCGCGCGAAAATAAGCTCCGCCCCCACAACACAAGACAACTTCGAACAAAATGCGATTGTTGCTTGTTTTCACAACATGTTGCGAGTATTGTCTCCGAACAAAATATGACTATACTTGATACTTTGGCCGGCAGGTGACGAGCTTGTAAGACAAATTTCCAGAAAATAGTCTCCCTCAAAATCAGCGATTTTCTGGCTAATCTAACCGAGGTGAGAGTGCCGCGGCAGGAGTGCTGCGCTTTTAATCATGAGCCCCCATAAAACTGGGTCGCGGTTAATTTTCGCGAAGTTCCCGGAAATCCCCGCCTAGTTCCTCGTTTTGCTCCCCGGAAACCACTCGAAAAAGTATCATAACACTAAAAACGCAGAGGCGGAAACACGAAGGAAACTCCCGTTTCCGGAGGAAGTTGCTGAGTTTCTGGGCGGTTAAAAATTCATCGCGTCTTCAGCACCAACTGTTCCTCGTTTATACTCCGACTAATAGCTAGGGATTTCACACTGGTCGTTGTCGCACCATGCATGCAGTGGCGTGTCACGCTTTGCGATATATCGATTGAACTACCATTCAACCTATGGAAAAGGATCGATAATTAGGGTGTCCGCAACACTTACCGTAATAATCGATTATTTACCATGGCTTCAAATGGGGATCGATGATCGATTATACACGGCGCGTCACTGGAGCGGTGCCATTTGGATAGGAAGAAAGAAAATGCATGCCTCACGTAAATTGTGATTTTTTAGTCATTTTTCTAATGATAATCTACATGGCACTCCATCAGTAAAAGTTCGTAATAGACCCGTTGCGCTGAAATTTCTCGCTCACCGAATTACAAATCCAACCTGAGTTGAACTTTTAATTGGACGTATTTCTGTCAAACGGACCTAAGCGCCAATTTGAGTTCCTTTTGCG